TCCTGGCATCAAGACACACACTGTGTATCAGTCACACTACCTATACACCCTTTGAAGCAGGCACTGTTAAGGTCCTTCTAGGGAAGACCCAGACTGCTGTGACCTTTATCACAGGGTGGCATCACTGGGACAATGAGCACGTAGAGATCTGGGCACAGAGCAGCAGAGCTGCACTCACTGCAGGCAAAGTTGCAGGCCTGGATTCCCAGTGGGATTCCTGGGTAGCCAGAGCAGGCAGGAGGATAGGCTGGGGGATAGCAGCCACTGGGCCAGCCTGTAAAGAACAAAGGTCCCATAGCCAGCTCTGCTGCAGGCTTGCCATGAACATCTGGAGAAGGGTCTTGGCAACAGCAGTGAACTCCAGCTGTACTCTGGCCAAAACACCCCCCCCCCCACACACACACACACACAAGCAAGAGAGTGCTCTGGGCACAAGCCAAGGTGGTGGTGAGGGGGCACAGTAGTGGCCAAGAGCGAAGCATCTTTCACCTTGAGCCATAGGTGTTTCTGTTCTACAGAGGGTTATTTCATACAGCTTTTTCTGAAGTACTGAACTTTTTTGAAGTGTTGGGTTTTGTTGGGCATGTTGGGGTCTTTTTGTTTGTTCGGTTTTTTAGGAAACTATTGGTATTATACCTGGAGGAGGTACTAAACTTGCCTTCATTGCACCTGCTTGTTGGAAAGATGCAGCTGGGCAGCAGACAAAATTCCCCAGATGGATATCAGGAAAACACTCTATTGGAAATAAAGAGGTAGACCTTCAACATTAAAAAAGCAGGGAAACAAAAAACCCAACCCAGTCATGGTTCTTTTAGCAGGACTCCTATAAGATAGCAGAGATATTAGTAGTAAAAGACAAGTATCAGCAGAAAAATGTTCACAACCTAGTGCTGATGATTTAAGAGTAGTCAGGGATTCAGCAGACATTTTAATGTGCCAGCAGCAGAAGGCTTAAAAATAAAAGAAGTTTGTGATTTAAAGGGAAAGTTATAAATGTTAAAACATCAGTTTGGTCTCATTCCCTTCCTTCCTTGCTGGGTCTGTCACACACCTATGAAGTGTAGGAGCAGGATTTTTTTCTTTTCCTTTTTCTTTATTTTCATTTCAATGGAATAGTGAGTCTGACAGTCAGCACGTTCACAGGCACAGAGTGAATCCTACTTCCTGCTAGGTACGTCTTTCCTGGTGGTGGTTTTCCTGGAAGGGGCAGGTCAGACAGCCTCCACGCTGCAATAGCACATCAGGGTGCTCCTGCTGCCCCTGACTAGCGGGCTAAGGAAGCCGTAAAAAGCCCTTGCTGATGTTTTCCAGAAAGCAGCTATAACCAAAGATGAAGATTTCTCCTTCATGAAATCTTAGTCAAACACCCTCCTGGTGCATCCTACCCTGAAGGACACATTCACTGCCAGCAGAGACTAGTTGAGGTCAGTGCAGCCCAAAACGCACCGTGCCTGTGCCTGCAGCTGTGCATCTGGCACATCCACCCGGACCACCACCAGAAGAGCCAGAGGGTCAACAGACACGTTGTATGTGCTGCTGTGGGCAGCAGCCAAAGGCAGTGTCCACAGGCGTGGAGGACTGAAGTGTCTGCACGCTTGCTGTGCTGATGCAGGACCATTGGGTGTTTGATGCCTGCAGATGGTGCTATTTAATTGTTAAAATGACTCCACCTCCCCATCACAATCGGCCGCAGGCTTTGCTTTGCAAGAGCAGCACTGGTACTGCAGAGCTGCAGCCACCCAGGGGTGGATCACTCCATGGGCAACAGGAGCAGTAAATCATCCTTCTCTGTGACAATGCAGTTCCTTTTCCCACTCCCTGAATAGGAAAAAGCCACAGAACACTGATATCAAGAAAAGGCCAACACCTCATGACATGATTTGAGCAAAACTTCCCCTGCTTCAGCGGCAGGGGGTTGCCCTTTTGCAGACGGTGAAACACTGTCACATTTTAGAAGCTCTCAGGTGGGGTTGTTTTGGGTGCTCCCCTGGGTGTTTGCAGATACGTACACCTAATCCTGAGGTGCTCCACTCTTGTTAAGAAGTACCAGCAGACCACAGACAAGACTAACTGCAAAAGCAGAAGAGATTCGTTAGTTGAGCCGAAACTTCCAGATGTGTAAATGCTCAGCACAGCTAGCAATGCCATTTTCTTCTGCAAGTTTCCCAGAATCTGCCTGACTCCCTAGTTGCCCAAAAGTAACTTTAAAACTCAGTTCAATCCCTTCTGTGGACACACTCCACCAGCCTGAAAATGACCTTTTACAGAACTCTAACTTGGCTCCTTGTTCTGTCCTTGGGACACAGCCAAGCCATGCAGCCATATGAAACACCCCTCGCTTACTGGAGGTGCAAAGGACAGGATGTGCAAAGGATTCTGATAAATTCAAAGTGTAAACTTCCAGCCTCTTTCACTAGGGCTCTGTACCTTAAAACCACACCACCTTTTCTGCAGCCTTTTAGAGAAAGAGGAAGAGGAGGAAAGAGCAGGAAAGATAGGTGGAGAAAGGAAAGAAAAAAACCCAGCAACCTTTGGTATCAAAAGCCTGCCAAGCTGGGATGGGAGTGGGGGGGGGGGGAAGTGAAAGAAAAGTCCCTCGGTGTGAGATAACCTGGAGGTGAGCTCTGTTGAAGGTGTGTCAAAATTTCAGGTGCTTTCTGGCATTTGTAAACTTATTTGCAGACATGGTTTCATTCTTTCTTTTCAGGATGTGGGGAAGAAATTATTTGCTAAGCAGAAAGACATATTTGGTACCTGCAATAAGGTTTCTCAAATCCAGCTGAGCTCAGGATCTCTGACTTACCACCGCAGTCTCCCTGCTTTGGAAGTCCCGTTGACATTTCTTACAGTGTCTCTGTTTCTGCTGCAGCTCAGCAGACCATCGCTCCTCACTGATCAAAGGTGTAATCTCTCCCCATCCTGGAGGAACAGGGCTTCTCCAAGCAGTGAAAGAAATGTAAGGATCTCTGATCCCCTACACTGGAGGTGCTGCACCACTGTCACTAAAACACCCTCTGTTTAACACTTTGCTGTCTTGCCTTTTGAAAACTTCCCCTCTGTATGTATCCCAAGTGGTCACAACCCAACATCTGAGAAACAGCTGAGTAGCACAACCATAGCATTAATGCTATTGTAGAATATTTTTTTTTAAACCTCACTGAAATCTTGGTTAAGGCATGACTATCCTCTGAAGGCAACAACAATACAGATTAGATATGGACTGGGGCATTGCACTAAGATACCTTGTGGTATGGTGATAAGCTTGTAATCAATCAAATTAGTTGTCCTGGTTTTGGCTGTGTTTAGAGCGCATCTTAAAACCTTGCCACCTGACAGCTGACCAAAAGCATTAGCTTATTGTATCACAACTAATATAAAAAGAGTTTAAGCCACAGACCTTGTCCCCAAGCATACTCATCTTGATTTTGATGCCACAGATTATTCTGTGGTCTGGCATTAACAGAGCTGCAGAAACCCACTGCTGAGTTACTTAATTGTTGCAGTGGAAAATTTTACAGCCATTCATAACCTCAGAGGATCTTAATTCCACACTTGAAACTATCAGGAGATGATTTGATATATGCATTGACTTAACCAGTTAAGTGATGGTGTGAAGCTGACAAACAAGTAACTTCCACGTGATGATGAATGATGAAAATGTAGCTCAGATCTTCAAATTACCAGAGAAAAAAATAGTTTTACTTCAGGCCAGGAATTCAATTTTTCTTCAACTGGAAGAGAGCCAAACATGTTTTCATTATCACTAAAGATCCCTGTTTACAAGTCTAGGAGGATTTTCAATTCACATACGTTTCCCCCAATGACAGAGCCTCCAGAGGCCTGAAATCCAGAGCTGGCCGGATTCTACTTATCTCCATCACCCTTACTGCCCTCTGTGAAAGGTCTCATTTTCTCTTCTTCCCACTGCTAGATTGACAGTAAATACTTTTCTGAGGCCTTTGTAGAGGAAGTGTACAGCACCCCAGTTTAAAATAACAAGGTTATATGAAATCCATGTAGCCAAAGAAACATGTTAACAGTAAGGTATCTGATATATCCCAAAGATTAATGGCAAGAGGCAAAACATTCCCCTGCTGAAATTTTAGGATTTCTAGGAGTTCCCAGAAAGATCTTTTCTTGGTATAATGCTATTCATGATTTTTTATTTATTAGTACTACTTTCTGAAGGAAATTCTAAAATAAATTGTAGTAAAAATGGTGCATCGTGTTATGAGCAGAATGTTTATGTAGGAAAACTCACCCACATTCATAAAGGGTGCTCAGATAAATATCATACATAGTCAAATTCAAAAATATGCCCTAAGAAATATAAATTTTATCCCTACTACCCTCCCACTGTAAAATAAATAAATAGATATCCAATATCATGGGATGCTTGGACAATGGTAATATTTTGGAGAACACGGTAGGTGATAAACTTAGTACAAGATCCAAGAGCAGCAGGGTGGCGTGGAGTGTATATCTGGAGGCGTGAACACTGGATAACAAAAAGGGACAAGAAGGTGGTGTTCCCGCTCAAAATACAGCATCACAAGGCCACCCCAGACTACCAGCTTTCTGTGTCTTTGCCAGTAAATTACAAGCACCCTGTGCTACTTGCTCACACTGAGGATGCTGGCATGAAATGGTCCATTTCTATGCCTGCAAACTATCTTAATTTCTAAACCACCATGGCTGCAGATGACCTGCTTGTTGGGAATGGCTGCTGGCTTGTGCTAACCCTAAACTGGGCTCAGACATTGTCTGACTAGAGCCAATCTGTCTCATTGGTCCAGACCAAAACCACACCAGAGCCTGTGCTAACAATTTAACACCAGGGGCAATCAAGTTCAAGATCCCAGAAATGTTTCCCGTTTAATTTACTATTCTAGATGTAGTCAGTGCATCTAGGCTTGATAGATGCACTGGGAGAACGATTTTGAAAAATGGGAAAAGGCTCAGAAGGAGGCTACAAAAGCAATTTTGTCTGTAAAACTTAGTGAGATGCTCAAACAGCTTATTTATTAACTTTATTTAAGGGACCAAAAGGTGTTGACCATGATCTACAAGTACCCATATAGAAAAAAGGATTTCCTGTAGACAACTACGCTATACTCCAGAAGTTAAAAAGCATGCTGATATCCAGGAGCTAGATAAATTCAATCTGTAAATAAGGCACATTTTTAAGCATTAGGAGGATTAACTACAGAAGAAATTAACAAGTGCTCTGATGGATCCTTCATAATGTGTGATCCTTAATTTATTTTTTTCTGAATAAAAAAACAATCTTGTGGATACAACAGATGCTTGGGGGCTCATAAGGAAAAAGTATCTGAGTTTCTTTGACTTGTGTTATACAAAAAGCCAGTTTAGATCATTGTACTAGTACATTCTGATCTTGAATCTGATCTGACAGATCAGACACCATCAATACCTCTGAAGTGTAAGTGGGCAGATTTCCTGATGGATCTGTGAAAAAAAAAGATAAAGCAAACAGAAAAAACATTACATTTGTAGTTGCAGTCCAAGCTGTGCAACCAAAGAGGAACAAATTAGGCAGAAATTGCTTTCCCTTATTGGTGCCAGCCACTGGCTAGAATAAAACTGCTGTGAAAAACAGAAGTCATTCTTGACATAGCTGTGCAGAAACTACCTTATCTTACCCATACGAATGTGTTGCATCTGCCCTTTCTAACTGCATGCAGGAAGCAAGACCACTCTACACGGCACCTACGTCTCACTGAAAGGGCTGGGATTTCTATGCCAAGGAATTTTGCAAAATTTTTTGCCCAAGAGATGTTTTCATACCCAACCCAACCCAAACACAGCACAAGCTAAATGGCATGCTTTACCTTACCTCAGACATAAAAATATACCCGTGATCCATACTATTGTTCTATAAACACAACAATAGCTGGATTTTGAATAGGTTTTCTGCTTGGGTAGGAAACCGATGACACAGACAGATGGCTTTCTTATAACATCAACTTAGTCACGAGGCAAACATATAGAGGAGAATTCATAGGAGGGAATTGGAGCAGTATAGCTCCTATTCTGTCCTTTTCTGGGCAGTGGTTTGTCTTCTGCCTAATATGAAGGGAAAGGGCTGAAGAGTCCTTTGGCCCAATGACCACCTCCCATTTTCTTGAGTAGCTAGGGGAATAAAGCTACAGGGACCCAGTGTTATCCCTTCAAAGGTCCTCACCCCTGACCCATGAGGCAACCTGCAGTGATGACAAGGGCAAAAGCCTGCACCATAACCTCTCCTGTGTGTCAGGTCAGGCAGTGAGATGTGAGTATATGCTGCACTGTCCAGCTAACTTCTACTCCCTTCTGGGACACCACCAAAACCAACTGTGAGAGCCACTGCAGGGTCCCATCCACATTCACTGCAAAGCGCAATCTTGCTGGCTTCCCATACGGCATCCCGAGCCCTGATGTTGTGGGATAGGAGATCTCTGGACTCTCTTTGATTACTGGGCTGCCAGGCAGTCCCAGTTGCCAGCACCATTTGCAAACAAAGAAGTTGCAAGCAAAAGGTATTGGCAGCTGACTCTATCACGTTGAGACATTGGCCAAATGCTCTATAGGCCTACTTGCTTAAAAGAGGTCTGTAATCTTTGCTTTCCAGTTCTTCAGCAGTAGACACTGAGATGATGTTACAAGCTAAGTATCAATTACAAACTTATCTGGAGCAGCAAAATGGAAACATGAAGGAGTAACAGCTGAAAACAGGTCAGCAAAAAGAAGTTTGCTGTGATTTCCAGATGAAAGCCTGGAAGAAATACAATTCATATCCAAAAATATTTTTATTCCACTACCCAAATTACCTCCACACCAGGAATTAGCTAGAAATGTAAAGATACTTCCTGAAAAACTTCAAACATAAAAATGGGGGGGGGAAGAGGGGAGAAATCCCTGCAAATCTTATGGGGTTTAAATGGTTGGGTTATATTAATTTGGTTATTGGGAATCCTCAGCTTGAAGCAACATCCCTCTGGATCTGTGATACCACATCCTGGCTCTGCACACTTCTTGAGTATCCTCTGACTGGTACTTCATAATGATGACAAACTCCAACCCCTTATTCCCCCACTGGAGATTGAAAGGACTTTAATGCTGTAAATAGCTTTTTAAGAACGAGATTCCTCTGAACATTTACATTTTCTGTTGGTGGAAGGTGTCAGGTTAATGATTCATTTATAATAACAAAAAAACACCTCAGAAGACAAAGTTTTATCTCCTTATTTTCGTCGCTGTTAGTACACAGAACTAATCCAGGTTTTATCTCCACAAGTATTTATGATTTTTGTAGTTGAGTGTAATCTACTCAGTCAGTAATTAAATACCTTAATGTTTTGCACAGATACACTGTACACTTCATATTGTATGACTTATATTGTATAGGTTGTCTTAATTTGGTGTCTTATTCCTTTTATTTTTTGTTGCAGTAGCTGTTTCAGGATTGCCTAATGCCTTCTAATGTATTATGCAGCAAATTATTTCTGATATTTTCTAGATGGTTATTTAGATGAAATAAAACATATGCTGAACAATAAGGAATTAACCTCTCAGCATTAACTTAGCATGAAATAGCTGATATTTACAATGACCACAACCTGCCTCCTAGGGATTTCATGTATCCAGATGAGGTTTCCGAAACTACTCTTCTCAGTAAGCAGCCATTAAAGCACCCTAATCCCAAGTGGTGCAGTAGAAGTAAGAGAAGCTTTGCAGCATGTTTAAAGACATTATCCAAATACCCAATAAATCCAACTGAAAAACAATATTAAATTGATAACATGTCAGCCAAGAAACAAGTTCCACCAGCCAGGGCAGCATAAGCCAGCACAGGAGGAGCTTCAGCTTTTGCCTGGGAGCTCCACATCAGTGCATAGCACCAAACTTCACAGCTCCCTCTGAAAGTATTTTACCTGCATGCAACAGCAGAAATTGGTGGCCAAACATCTGTATTCCTCCAAAGCCTCACCGCTTTCTGGGATGTTTCACATGCATTTCAAAGTGTTAGACACATGGCTTCTCCAATGTATCTTCCACACGGTCACGTACCACAGAAGGTGGGTGTTTTGTGGTAGACATGGCAGGCGTGACCTCCACAGACACAAAGAGCACCTTCCCCCTGTCACACTCAGCCAAACACTGCTGCTGCTAGCTCACTGTTCCTGTCAGCCTGCAGAATCCCCAGCCACGTGCCAAGGCTGGGAGTGCTACTGGCCTGAAACCCAGCCCTAAAAGATCAGGGTTGCATGTTTGTGGCACCTCAGGGAATTTTAAATCAAGCTCAGCTTAACAATCAAAAGAACAGGGCTGTAACAGCCTCTCATCTCCAAAAGCTGAGGCAGGCTTGTGAGTATCTCTGTGTTTGAGCCTCAGTTTACCTACTGTCTTAAGGATCTTTCCCAAGAGAACTGGATAAAGAAACTTTGATGGGGCCATACATTCTTGGACTCTGCAATATTTTCTTTCATTTGTTTATTGTATTCATAAGTAAAAATGCCTCATTAACTGCAGAAATGAATTTTCTCTCCAATTATATTTACCTTCTATTATATATTTTAATACAGAAAATCAAGTAAGCACAGAAATAAAATACTGCACTATGTTGAACAATCTGTATTTACCCAGGTATTTTTTCCAAAGTCCTTCTTTGTGACGCTTTAAAACATTCAAGTTTATTCCTCTTCAGAAGCATCAGATTTCAAAATCTTCAGCAGACTGGAACATCCATCCTTCTAAAGACTAGTAATATAAATTCTGCATTCTCTATTATTCATCACAGAGCTCTCTTAGCTCTGCAGAAATGAGTAAAATAATTTCTAGAAATACACACATAAAGCAAACCCATGTCTTAGAACGTCTGTGGGTACATGAGATAATATTATAGGCATAGATCTATTCAGTGGGAAGATGTTACTTGCAGACATTGATGTTGCTGGCTGGTACCTTGAGAACAGTGGAGCAAGAGGGTGGGTTGGGAGCTAAATTTCCCCCAGACCTCTGGATAATCTCTTTTGAGTATTTCTAGCATTTTTGTAGATGTGATCAGTTAAAGATATGAGAGGCAACACTTCTAGGGAGAGTTAATCTAATTTGTTAGAGCTCTTGCTATTAGATCATCCTATTTGCTGTGACAGTGTCCTCAGGAAAACAAGCTGGTAACTCTTTGTGGGTGTTGCTTTCCAAGTGTGAGAGTGTGAATCTCTATTATGCTCCTTCCACAGATAGGGACAGGGCTGGGGGGGGAAGCAACTTGTTAAAGATGCTGCAGTAAGTCACTGGAAGGGCTGTCTGCACCCAGACCTCCCTGCTGCTTGCTGGTTTAGCATAAGCCTTTACTGACATCCTTGTGAAATTAAAACTTAACAGCCTCATTCCTTCATGTAGTTACAGACACGCTAAACTTCAGGCACAGGAGCGGTCCCATTAAAGCCAATATGCATACTTGCATGCTTCATGTTGAACGTCTCTTTTGCAGAACCTCCAAACCACCTCAGACATCAAACCCAAGTGTAAGAGACCCAGAGCACAGTCACTGACTGTGGACACCCATTGTTGTCCCTCTGCTCTGCACTGGCTGCTGCGTAATCTGCTGACAGGCTCTAAAGCACTGCCTCTGGCCAAAATTACATTACCTGGGGATATCCCTGGCTGCTTGAAAAGCATTAAAACCTGGAATTTCTATCATGCAAGAGGCAGCAAGAGCTTCACAGCACAACAGGATGACAGGATTTGCCCTTCCATCCCTAGGTCTGGCAAAACCCACATATCACCAGTTCTGGAGCCCACTGCCAAAGGTACTGACCATTGAAGCTTTGGGTAGAAGTTGTGGGAGCTGTGGATCTGAATATAGAGATAGAATATGCTTGAACATGTCTGCCTGCATTTCTTATGCCTCTGGGTAGCTATTTCCTGCATAGGCTGCTATTTAAAATAAGAGATAGAGACTTTAGATTTAAAAAGCTATATTTTCTTACTTTAATCTAAAGACATGAATATCATTAAAAGATGGTTAATGGAGAAGTACAAAAAGAAAACACATTTAAAGGCATCTGCTATGCGTCATTAGTGATTATCTTTCAAACTTAGACATTATGAGTCAAATTTTCCTCAGTCAACCTGACTGACAGTTAATGAAACTGCAGCCACTTTGGTCATGTAAGCCTAAATGCATTTGTGGAGCTCAAATGTTAACCTGCAAAGTCTTATCTGGCTATGAGCCTCCCTGGGGCAAACAGAGAATAGGAAGGAATGGGAGCAGGAAGAGTAGGGAGTAGGAAGAGTAGGGAGTAGGAAGAGTGGGACAGTAGGGAGAGTAGGGAGTAGGAGTAGGGAGAGTAGGAAGGAATGGGAGTAGGAAGAGTAGGAAGGAGGAAGAGTAGGACAGTAGGGAGAGTAGGAAGGAATGGGAGTAGGAAGAGTAGGAAGTAGGAAGAGTAGGACAGTAGGGAGAGTAGGGAGTAGGAGTAGGGTGAGTAGGAAGGAATTCCTTCCTACTTCATATGGAAGTAGGGAGAAATTGGTGAATAAAATTCAGATGGACACAAGCTATGACACCTTATTCCCCTAAGTTTACAGGAATCTTTTTAGCCACTGTACAACATAGTAAGGATTTCTATATGTTTGCTTTCTTTACAGACTCAGGAAAGTAGAGCTAAATTCACAAAAGAAATCCACATACCGTTTGAACCATTTTTCTTTTCAAGTTATATTTTCTAACAAACAGTTCTAAATTTTGCTACAAATAAATCTGAACTGAAACAGGGAGTTGCATTCATTTTGGACTTTTTTCATGTCCAAACCACTGATTTACAGCAGTTTGGGTACAGCTGTATTAGCATTCTGTGAATTACTTTGTTGTGTAGCAGATTGCAAAAAGAGCAGTCTGAAGGATGCATTAATAATAATGAAGTTGATGGTGTGATGTGATAGTAAAAGGTGGTTTAAGCACTGTTATTTGGGGTAATCATAATTAGCGGTAGCCATTTAAAGGTCCCAGCATGCGCTTTGTAAGCAGAAATGTTAACCCTAGGTTCTTGGCCAGTTTCCAACATAAGCAATTACATTCTTCCCACAGTTAGTAGTAAACAATCCCTTGTTGCTTCAATTAGACATGGTATTCTTCAGTTTCTCTCTGAGAGCTGTTGAGTAGTGCTACCAGTGCTGTTATGTGGCTGCTGTGTTCCAGCTGAGAGGTCCCAGCATTTTAGTTATAAATGAAGTGTTCCCTGCTTGTAAAAGGCTTCTGTAGAGTAGTCTCAGAGCACTGCATAAATCAATAAGCAACAGATGCACTTGATATTGTACACTGACTTCAGGGCAGGAGAAAAAAAACAGAAGGGAGGAACACTACTGGCAGAAAGATAACACAAGGATATGAATACAATGTGCGCACCTACCCCCATGAATGTACACAGGGTAAAAGAGCAAAGGCAAGTTAACAGTGGGCTTGGTCCCAGAGGGGGAAAACAATAAAGTCCAGAACTGATTTAAGACTGAATCAGCCACACAGTATCCAAAGGGAGCTTGCTTTCTCTAATTTAGGCATGGAAATAAGGACAGCTAGTCCCCATATTCCCTTTGCAATGACTGACAAAAAGATCTACAAAATGCAATATAACCAATATCAATTCTTTGTGTTTCTACAAGGTTCCTTAAATTTGTTGATTTCTTGCATGTGGACTGACAACCTTGTTATCATGGTTAAAAGTCCTTCACAGCTGCAGTTAGGTAGGAAGCTCCTCAATTTCTTAAGAACCGTTTGAAGCAGGGGGGTTGGAACTAGATGATTTTTAAGGTCCCTTCCAACCCAAACTATTCAATGATTCTATGAAGAAATCTTACCACAACCTAAACAGTTCTTCAGTACCAATTCTATACCCCAGGGGTGTTCTGCAGCAAAATAGTAATATGACTACATCCCAAGAGATCTCTAGACAGACAACTATTAGTTATAGCCAGAATAAAAATGAATAGAAAGGACACAGTGTTAGGGACAAAATGTCAACAAATAAATATCTCTGGTTTGTCTTGGCAACATGGATCACCCTACCAAATAACCTGAACTCTTGTATTCTGTCCATGTTTCTTCTACTTTTCTACTTAGTCTTTTTTGTGTAATATTGGATTTCCACAAATAGAAACATCCCGCTGTGGTTTTGGACTATATGTAGAAGGAGGAAAACACCACCAGCACATCATCTGTGAGGTCTCGTTTATTGCTGGTGGGGTGGTGGTAAGGCAGTCATAAGAGTTTTGTTTTTTTCATTTTCATAAAAGGCCTTGCTGTTGCAGAAAAGCTGCTGATATGCCTATCAAATTACCTCCTACTGCTTTTCTGTCTCTTTTCCCCTAATACTTGACATTCCCATTGGAGGCCTTTGAATATTCTGGGTAGCATTGTCCCAAACATCCATTTAGTGTTATAACCCCGTTTGAAGGAAAAACTGCTACAGAGGACAAGCAGTTGTCAAGAAATGAATGGTTTCATCCAGAGAATGGAAGGGAAGTGATGGAAAGTAATGTTCCTGTTTATTTGTATCTTGTGGTGATGCAGACAAGATGAAAATGTTTTGCAACAGGTCTGATTCCTCCTCTCCTGATGAGAGGGATAAATGGATCTTAGAACCTTTTTCCCCTTCATTCCTATAGTTGCAGAAATACGATTTTATTCAGGTCCTGAGAAAGATGGAAGGGGGCCTTAATGCAGAAAGAACAGGACACTGACTGTAATATGTCCCAGAAGTGCATTTGTCCATTCATTCCAATACTTGTAACTTCAGGAAACTTACAGGAAAGATGAACTCTTTTGCCCTGGTCAATAGAGTGTTGAATGGTGTGGAATAAAAGATAGATCACCTGTACAACTCTAAAAATATCTACCTCAAATGGTACCTAATCTATAGCCAGCAGGGAAAGGAGATAAATTTACATTTAGATAATA